TGACACCTCCTGACACAGAGCTCCTGCACTGATGGGCAAATAGGCAGCAGGTCCTCCAACGTATATCGCATTTGCAAACTAACCACATTTTCGTTGTCATGGAAACAGTCACGAACACGCTATAATTATGGAACATCTTGATTTCATGTGTTTAGGCAGCCAAATACAATTTGGTTAGGGAGAATACGGTGGTTTGTTGTAATTCACAGAATAAAAACAGCAGCTCAACCTTTGCATTGATGGTAAAATGTGTGAAGCTCTTCCACATTAACTTCCACGGGGAACCAGACGTTTTTACTGAACGCTGCAGCTGGTGCTTTGCTGTTCATGATGACTTGGATTAGATCACCCTGGTGTAAACTGTAGCACGTGACTCGCGTCCAACCTAAAACGTGTAACACTTTGTTAGGTCCCTCTGTTTATCTGTTATTAAATCTATATGGACATGTTATACTTGTTTATAACGCACTGTAACGCTGATGAGTAACAGTACATCACTTCTTCATATGTGTATTTGAAATATGCTCCAAAATATACACCCAGTTGTCAGTTTATTAGGAACACCTAGCTCAGACTGAGTCAGTCTAATCCAACAGTCTTTCATGAAGGTGATAATGTTATACAAAGAGATATTATTTCATCCGGCCTCACTGATAGAAATGGGTGGGCAGAATAATAAAAATACCTATTTTTCAGGTTTTGCTGCAATTTCTTCAGTCAATTCAATTATCCTCGTTCTCTTTTCAGCTGCCCATTACACTCACACACTCAGGATGCCTTCCATTCTCACGTTCTCAGAAACATATATATATATATACACACAGTGGTTACGGAAAGTATTCAGACCCCCTTAAATTTTTCACTCTTTGTTATATTGCAGCCACATGCTAAAATCATTTAAGCTTAAATACTGAGCAAAGGGTCTGAATACTTATGACCATGTGATATTTCAGTTTTTCTTTTTTAATAAATCTGCAAAAATGTCAAACATTCTGTGTTTTTCTGTCAATATGGGGTGCTGTGTGTACATTAATGAGGAAAAAAATGAACTTAAATGATTTTAGCATATGGCTGCAATATAACAAAGAGTGAAAATTTTAAGGGGGTCTGAATACTTTCCATACCCACTGTAGTACCCAAGGTTCAGCCCGTTGCAGCAGGACAGTAATCTTAAAACAATCAGACAAGGCAATTGAGTTTAAAGCACCAAATAATGAAATGTTGGTGACTGGCCAAATCAGTCACCCAACCTGTGTTTCACTTTTTGAATACCAGATTGATCCCTCATGTGCCGAACCCTTCATCCAGTCAGGAAATCAATATTGGATGGTTTTGTCAACAATTGTGGTGATTATAAAGAATAAAATGGTTAACTTATGATTATGATTAGGGAACTTTA